CCTAATGTGCAATAATCAAAGATTCTACAAGTAAATCGTTTTGGTATTTTTTAAGCTATAAAACTTTGCTAAAACTTTTTGCATTCATTGAATGAAAGCAAAGAGTTGTTGTCATCAACAACAATAATTAGTGCAAAAGGTTTTGTCATTATAAGTATTACCAATACTTTTAGAAGACTCTGAGAGCTTGATGAAATGAGTTTTTATAGTATTTTCTTACTAAGATCAGACATTTTTCTTAAAAGACATTCTCTTTTATAACTTGAGAACTTTTTTGCTTGTAATTTTACTGATCATTTAGTTTTAATTCCCTGACCATTAACTCCAACTAACTGTTTGATATTGGGCTATATTCTTTGCTTTAATTTTCAGCTTCTTTTTATCACAGAATACCGAGACGCCAACGCATTTTAAGCTTTACTGCTTTCTCAAACATTGTCAACAGCTATTAAAGGTGTTTGAATTGAAATTTCTAATATTTCAACCGTTTGGAAAACTATTTTTGTCAAAAGTTTTTCAAAGCGAACTTCTGTTTTACAGTTACTTTTCCTCAATTATCGCTTAAATTTTGGTCACTGGGCTAAACATTAGTCTATTATTCGAATATCTTAAGCACTAAAATGTAATTCTTTTACAATTGAAGATTTGTACGTAATTTGTAGATGATGGGGACAAAAATGTTTGATATGGACTAGAAACAGTATAGCTAATTATAATCTCTTGTAATTACGGCATTTTGATGCTAAATATCTGTGCAAAATTCCCCTATGTTACTTCCAATTATAAGTGCTACCGGTGTGTTGCTAATAGACCTATATGTCTTTTTATTCTTCATTTTGTGTTCTCACTGTACGCAATAAACCATCAAATTTCAATTACTTAACTGAGGAAATTGAAGGGTGAAGTTTGCAGCGTTTGAATTAAGCTTCTTCACCATTGTTCTTTGTGATCGTTAGTCTTATTTAATGTGCTAAATCATAAGTGTTTTGTTGTTGTTCAGTCGTTTCTGTGCTTTTTTTTTTCTGCTTTAGTCGTATAAATCCAAATTTGGATTTTGTTTGGAAATTTAACTGTTAATTTGAATCTTTTCGAGTAACGGTTTTGCTACAGTGAACTATAACTTTTAGAATTTTTTTATCGTTTAGACTGTTTCAGCTTTATTTATGATATTTGTTTAATGTAACTAAAAATTCAACCTCGCTCGTTGGCCTAAAAGTTTAGATTTGTTCATTTAGAAAACAGTTGTCGCATAAGAAATATTTGGTAGATGTTACTTAGGGTGAGTACGAATTTTTGTATATAGATAAAAAATTTTGTTGCTTTTTTTCTTAAAAGTTGCTTTTAAAGTTTGTCTCAAAAGTACGTGAAGTACTCAAGAGTAGCTTTTTCTGGTAACTGAATCAACACTGTGTTGGAAAAGGAAATTACTTTTGAATGTTAGTACAGTTTTGCTGCTACACTTCCAAAATAAGTAAAAATCTAATTAGGTTGTTTATTACTGTTTCGCCTTACATTTTTTCACTCTTTTTTTTCAGGAGTTCCATCAGTTTCGGTACCAATTTATGTGGAAGTAGGATGCCCAGTATTGAAAGCAAGAAAAATTAAACAATCATCTCCGCATTTCTTGACTCCTTCTAGCTCGTCAGGAAGTAAGCATAGCAATAGGTACTGCTGTTCAAAAAATTTTAATTTCTTGACTTTACTGAATTTCAGGGAATTGGTGTTTTATTATGTTTTCAAATTATTGGAACTGAATGTTGCAGAAGGTGTTTTAATTTTATATCGTGAAAAGTTTTTTATTGACATTTCTTGCGGATTTCCGTTTATTCGCCGCATTTAAGGGTTTTTTTTATAGCCCAAATGATATGGATCATAAGAATGAAGGAAGTAGTATGCTTTCGGATGAACAGAATATGAATATTTTTGGTCAGCTAGGCGATGAATGCTATGTAAATTTTTTGATTTATATTTTTTGTTAACTTTATTCTTTAGATCATATTGTAATACCTGTCACTTTTTTTTTAGATTTAGAAGTTTTTTGAACTGAAAAAAAAGTTTTTGTTAGTTTACTGTTAGCACTGAAAGTGTTGGATATTTTTAAGGTAGCTTTAGTTTCGATATTCCGTTTATCTAATTTATTATTTGCGTTCTGCGTTAGCATTATTGTTCATTTTCTTCTTTAAGTTATGTACTCTGAGAGAATTGATGTACAAGCAGTTAATTGAAACTTTTTACTCTAATAATCACAGAAGCTTTTATAAAATTGCTTCTCGTCTCAGCCGTTTTCAGAAAGTTTTTGCTCAGCTTAAAATTTTTTTATAAGACAAACGTTGACCATGAAGAGCTTTTGGACCAATCTTGAAACGATTTTTTAGTCTCAAAAGACATTTCTACAGTTGCAACTTAAATGCAACTTAAACTTATTATTTGATACATTACTATATCGGACTTTTGAAATCTTTCTAGCGCCCAAAAGCTTTTACTTTGAATGAATTAGATAAGGATGACAAATAAAAGCTTTTTCAAAAGATATATGAAAAACCTCTTTTTAAAGACCGTGTATATCGTTGCTTTTTTGCATAGCCATTACTTTGCCTACGTTCTGTTAAAGACACTGCTGTTTCATTTTAGATAATTTTTCGTGATATGAATTAGTTCAGAGAGAAATATTTGATTTTTCAGCTGTGTTAAGCTTGCATTCTTAGAGGTCTTTTAGATCATTTCTTGAAAGTTTATGCAAACTACTAACATGAAAATATTAGAACGAATCTTCAGTGATGAAAAAAATAAAATTTTTTATTGATGTATTTTAAATTGTGTTTTTCGGGCTTTTCTGTATTTAAGTCTAGATCTCTTAAATCGTAAGTTTCAGACATTGGTTACTGGCATTGTAGAAGTATTGATGGAAGACATGAAAGTTCACGCCTGGACTAAGATTGATATGGGGGCAATTTGCTATGTAATAGATTATAACAAAAAAAAATATAGTCTGCGTTTAATTGATCCTGGTTTAAACAATAATCCACCGTCAGAAAAATGGAAAATTGCAATGTAGGTTTTTTTTGCAACTGTTATTACATCTAATGTTTTTATCACATGAAATTCACTTCTCATTTACTGTAAAATTTTAAATGTAAGACTAAATATTAAACTGTATTCAGATCTCCAGATGTTGAATTTGCAAAGACTCATCCCCACTTAATAACTTTTATAACTCCTGATGATGCCGTTTATGGGCTAAATTTTTCGTTCCAGCATGAAGCTGAAACTTTTTTTTTTCGAGTTCAACAATTACAGAATGGTATATTAATCTTTTATGGAAACTTGATATTATTAAGTCTGCAAGAATTCTTTTCTGATTTTGTTACTAAAAAAATCTAATTCAGAACGGCGAGAAACTGTGGCACCAAAAAAAGGTATACTAAAGAATTTCAAGTGGTTTCCTAATAGTGTAAGTGATAAAGTCTTGTAGCTGTTGATTTTCGTTTTGTTAATTTTTGTACGCGCAAGTTCTAGATGCAGTTTTTATAAGATTGACATTAAATAACTTTTAGAGTTTTATAAGATTTTGATATTTTCACTTTTTATTGAACATGATATCACTTACATATCTCAAACTTTTGCAACATTTCTTAATTGATTTTAAGACTTGTTTAAATTTAGAGTGATGAACATGTTACAAGCTATACTGTGAGGCACGAAGCATCAAATGGTTCTGTAAATACTGTAAAGGAGAAGGAGAAAACTGGCACAACCAACGGAAGACCCAAAAGTAAAATCAATTTTTCTTCATAGTTCAATAGAAGTGAATTATGAGTTTATTTGTTTCTCAAATTACGAGATTAACAGGATGAAATCGACTTAACAGATAGCGATTTTCCTCATTCTTTAAGTCTGCAGCTCGGTTACTCCAATTTTCAGGTTTTTTGTTTTCACCTATAACTGAAGGAATGGATAAAGCTTTCACTTCGATAACAAACTTTGTTGACACAAAGGCGAAAAATTTCATGAAAGAGAAAGAAGGAAAGGCGAAGAGGAATAAACATAAAGAAATAAAAAAATTTGAGATTAGTCAACCCAGCGAATTTCAGTTAGTATAGTTTTTATCGCTTACTTTCTCTTATCTTAGCTCTGCACCAGACAGTCATTTTTAAGAAAAGATGGCTGGTACTGTTTTTTTGTCCCCTTTAGCGATCCAAATATTGGACAGTTAACTTTTCCAAAATTTGTTATATTTGACAAAGTGCCTATCAGCTAAACTCACGAAGAAAAATTTTCTTGACATCCAAAATTAGTTTGCTAAGTTTAGGCACCTTGCTCACATGGGCGACAGTCCTTTTCTTCACATAGGCAACAGTCCTGTCTACTTGGAAGATTCAATGACTGATCAGACCGTTAAAGAAATATATGCCTTCTTGGGTATGGACTTTTCAAGCGCATCAAAGTCGGAGATTGATGCT